AATGCAACTTCAGGGGAGACATTTGGCTGTGTGCTATTGTGCACTTCTTAAAACTAGATAAATATATGCCTAAACATTTTTTGAGTCTCTATTAAGTGCTGGGAATAAGACTTAAGTACCTTTACATATATTACCCTTTTATTCCTCTAAAACCAGTAAACTAGTTATTATGATCTCACTTTACAGATAAGGAAACCAACAGGCTGCGAGAAGGCTTCCTAGGTGATTTTTAACACAGATCTCCACCTAAGAGTCATCCTCTTAGGGAATTCCCTGGCCAGTGGTTGGGACTCAGCACTTTCACTGCCAGGCCTCAGGTTCAGTCCCGAGTTGAGGAATTAAGATTCTGCAAGCCACACAGCACAGCCAAAAATAAATAAATAAATAGTAGAATCATCCTCTTAAATAATGATCACATGTTTGCCTAGAGCTTTATCACTGAGGGTTATTTGCATATGCCTATCTCGTTTGACCTGTAAATTATCCCCATGAGGGAGGCAGAGCAAGGCTTCAGAAGTGAAATTGTTGGTTCAGGGTTACTTAGCTAGTAAATCACTCAGCCTTTAACCCAGGTCTTCTCATTATAAACTCCATATTTTCAGCATTCACTTGGATAAACCTAAATAAGATTTCAAATAAGCAGATTTTACAACAACTTTTTGTTGAATACTGTCATCCAAAATAGTGTTGGGCATGCTGGAAATTCATTCAAAATCATTTTAAACTCTTTTTACATATTTTGAAAAGAATGCCATGATAAAGATATAAATAACTTTTTGCCTCTTTCAGCACTTTACCTTCTCCTGCCCTCGCCTAAATGCTCCTGAAATCTTGGCTTAAGCAAACCTTTGCTATTTCTTCTTTCGTGGAGTTAACCTTGAAAAATATTGGTAGAGGAGACACTGAATCTACTGTTATTTTTAGCTGACAGGGAGTTGAGAGTTGATATTTTTTATTAAGCCATTAAGCAATAGTGAATGTCTGAGCCTGGAGTGACTAACTTTGGAGTACTTTTAACTTCTGCAGAAGGAGCTATACATGTATGTTTCAGGTAGCCAAATTATTATTAGCAACTAGCACATAGCCTCTGCATCTAACTCATAAGATGATATGATCTGGCTGAATTCAAGCCACAGGACAAGATCGAAATACCACACCAAACAGGAGAGGGCATGAAAGAAATGTCATGGCTGACTATAAGTAGAGGACAGAGACAGTGAACAACAATAGTTTTATGATATGATAAAGGCAAGAACTATTTTTGTCTCTGGACAGTGTGAAATTTATACTAGATTTTCTATATTTCCAAACCTGGAAATACAGAAAACCTGGTTGCCTTAGCACATTCAGTTGCCTGTATAACAGTTCCATGAATGTTAAACAAGTTTAAATGAGAATTCTTTATTTTCTTCCAAAAACAAAAAAAAATCAAACACAAAATGAATCAACTTTTTCTTCTGCAGTCTTCCTTAGCTCTGTAAATGACATCAATGTCTACGAGTTGCTATGCCCCAAAAAAGAGAGGAGTAATGAGTACTATTTGGAATAGGGTTGTGAAATTACAGATCTAAAGAGTAAAGTCAGAGAGGACCTCTCTGAGAAGGTACATTTGAGCTCAGACTTGAAAAAAAGAGAGAGTGAGTTGTACAGATACCTGGAATCAGTTTGGGGGAAGGTTAGGGGCATGTCTTTGTTTCCCTCTAGAACAAAAGGGAGACATGCTTACTGACCATTATAAGAGTTAATATTCCCTAAGCTCAGAGTTCTCATCCTATAATATAACCCACTGCATCTGCAGGGGTCATCTGTTCATCTTGAAATCACCTTGTGCAGCCCCACTAACACCAATGGACAGATCATTCAGACAGAAAATCAGTAAGGAAACATTGGCCTTAGATGGCACTTTAGACCAAATGGACTTAATAGATTACATAGAGAATATTTTTTTCCAAAAACAGCAGAATATTCTTTTCTAGAACACATTGTACAGTCTCCAGGATAGACAGCATGCTAGGTCACAAAACAACTCTAAGTAAATTTAAGAAAACTGAAACCATATCAAGCATCTTCTCCAACCAGAGTACTATGATACTGCAAATCAACCAGAAGGAAAAAATTGCAATAAACACATGGAGGCTAAACAATATGCTGCTAAACAACCAAAGAGTCACTGAAGAAATCAAAAGAGGAAACTTTTTTAAATCCTGGAAACAAATGGAAATGATCCCATGACCTATGATCCAAAATCTATGGGATACAGCAAAACAATTCTAAGAGGGTAGTTTCTAACAATACAAGCCTATTTCAGGAAACAGGAAAATTCTCAAGTAAGTAACTGAAATAGAGACTGAAAAAAAAAATAAAAAAGATCAGTGGAACTGAGAGTTGATTCATTGAAACGATAAACAAAATTGGTGAACCTTTACCCAGATTTAGCCCAAAAAAAAGAGGACCCATATCAGTTAAATCAGAAACAAAAAAGAAGTTTCAACTGATAACACAGAAATACAAAGGATCATAAGAGAATTGCTGTAAACAAACTGTATGCCAGTAAAATGTACAACTTAGAAATGGACAAATATTTCAAAATGCACACTCTCCCATAACTGAACCATGAAGAAATAGAAAATATGAACAGACCAGTTACAAGTAATGAAATTGAATCAGTAATTTTAAAACCCTCAACAAGCAAAAATCCAAACCAAATGATTTCATGGGTGAAATCTACCAAATATTTAGAAAAGAATTAATATCTGTTTTTCTCAAACTATTTCAAAAATTGCAGAATAAGCTCTTCTGAACTCACTCTCTGAGGCAGCATCATCCTGATACCAAAACCAGACAAAAACATAACAAAAAAAGAAAATTACCGGCCAACATCACTGATGAACATAGATGCAAAAATCCTCAACAAAATATTACCAGGCTGACTACAACAATACATTAAAAGGGTCATGCACCATAGTCACATAGGATTTATCCCAGGGTGCAAGGATAATTCAAAATCTGCAAATCAATGTGATATGCAACTTTAAAAACAAATTGAAGAATAAAAATCATATGATTATCTTAATAGATGCCGAAAACTCTTGACAAATTCACCATCCACTTATGATTAAAAACTCTCCACACAGTAAGTATGGAAGGAACATACCTCACATAGTAAAGGCAGTATATGACAGGTCCATACCTGATATTTATAGATCAGGAAACTCAGGTATGGAGACCTTAAATAACTTGCCTTAGTTTATAAGGAAAGCTGGGACTTAAACCCAAGCTATCTGACACCTGCTAAGTGCTCCCAGCCACTCCACAGTTCTACATCTGGAAGAAGTTGAGTGGCACATTGTTAATAAGTATCACAGGCAGGACCCAAACTAGAAAAGACTTTTGAGAAGTCTGTAGTTTATGCTACCATGACATCTAAATCCATTTCATTGTACCTGTTTGATCTGTGTCTGGTCCCCCAGTTACACTGAATCTTTGTCTTTTTTTACACACTGCATCTGTCTTAAAGACACAGATATCATCTATTTCCTTATAAATTCTCTGAATCTCTCTTCCACTGAATAAGTTGTCAAGGGATCATCAACATATTGATTAAAACACAAAAACTTGAGGTACAACCAAAAATCAAAAAAATGTTTTCACTGTATTTACTTATTTTACACGTACAAAATGTCCATTTAAAAGTAAAAGGACAGTTCTGATTTATCAAAATCAATTTCAGTACCTGCTGTGACTAAACTCTGAACGAAATTTTATCCCAAAATTCCCCTAAAGAGCTTAAAATCTGACTTGGAAAAAACAAGAGCCATAGGCACATGTTGAAAACCAACCTGTCATGGACAAAATAAGCAACTTGCAAAGGAGCTGGTGCCAGCAAACTGCCTGAGATAAAGAGACAATTTATTTGGAATCAACAGCAGTGTAGCCAGGCATTGGCTGCCTTTGTTTTCACTCACTGCCACCGTCTTTCAAGGCACAAGCTTGTTAAGGTTCTGGCTCTAGCTGGTTCTCTGCTTTTCAGAATAAATCCATTTCAGTGGCATTTATGTCATATCATGCACCTTCTCCACTAGAATGGTTAGGAGAAAACTTGTTGTGCATTTGAACAATTAATATTTAGGAGAATAATCCTGAAAGAAAATTTAGAAAACAATTTGGAATTCTTAGTAACTTAAAATATCTTACCTATAAAATAGAAAGCATGTAAATGGAAATACTCAACTTTTTAAACAACATAAATTTTTATATTTTGCATGCATCTCTATAAACACTTGTGTATAGTGTATAGTATAGCTCTTAAATAAAAAGTGACCCATGGTCATCTTGATTTATTAATATTGTTGTTTGTAAGTGATTTCCTAAGAAATGATGATATTCTTTAGTTTTTAATGACAAGTGTTAGGAGACAGTGTTATTTCCAGAATGTTACTGTCTTAGCATCTTGCTACATAGTTGAGGCTGTGCTGTGACATGAAACCAAAAAAAAAAAAAAAATTATAGCTTGCTGTTGATTTTCCCTGGTAATCAGAGATAAGAGTATTGTGGATAAATTAAATTGATAAATAATCCCCAAAATATCATTTTAGCCATTAGTTTCAAATTCCTTTCTTCCTAAGACTTGTTTTTACAGTTACTGTTAAGCCTTAATATTAACAGATTTTAAACTTCGGCTTTCTCTTCCTCCCTTCTGATGAGTGCTTCTCTCTAAATGAAATATAAATGCAAGGTGGGGTAGCACAAGAAAGTGCAGAATTCAGGAACCTACTTAATTCACAGAATGGATAATCAACCCTGAACATTCAGGGGACTGGCTCTGATTTAGCCATCAAACCCTTTATAGAGAGGACTGATTTAGGAGAGCGGGTAAGTTAAAAGCCAGGTCACTCTAAGAAATGGAACAATGATCGTTTGACTACCATGTGAGAAAGGCATCTACTGAAAATATATCTCGTGTATCTAGTTGTTTAAAAAAATAACACTTTGCATTCCAGGTGATCACCTTCTTTAGCTCAAGGTTGCTACAAGCTGGAGCTGAGCTGTCAGTGGAACGAGTCCTGGAAATCATCAAGCAAGGGGTTGTCGCGCTGCCCAAGGACAGGCTGAAGGTAGGCCTGGGAGAAGAAACATGCTGTTGTTATCTGTTGATGTAAATGTTATTGTCTGAGTAGGCTGTATTCAGAATCATACTACTTACCCAGCACTTGTGCTGGGAAAAGCTCTCTAAATATTGCCTGCTCTTCTGTATAGTGACATACAGAGCTGTCACAAAAGATTCTGATAGTTTTCCAAAAGAAGTCGCAAAAGAACTGTCTTCACCACTGCATACATATCCAGTAACCGCTGCATAATACTATAAGTAATTCAAATACTGTGAATAAAGGAGCACCTTATTTTTTAACCCACTGAAATAAATTCAGTCTTGTGTGTATCATCAAGGGTTGATCAATAGGTGGTGTGGTGGTGATAGTGATGATGATCTGTTAGCTGCAGCAGTAGCTAGTACTTAGACAGTGTTTACTCAGTGCTTTTGGGGGGTCTAAGTGTCTTATATATTAACTGACCAATCCTCACAACAGCCCTTTGAGGGTGTTATCATCCCAGTTTTCAGATGAGGAATATGGTACAAAGATAGGTTAAGTAATTTACCCCAAGTCATACAGTTAGGGAATTAATGAACTAGGAGATCATACCCTGGCCTTTGGTTCCCAAGTCCATACTCATAATCACCACACTGTTTCCCATGTACCTAGGTGTAGCTACAGAAAGAGGAGTATTTTGTGGAAGAGGTAGGGGAAAAACAGTGTTTAGAGGAAACATTTAAATCTATGCACTAAATGTGTTCCTGAGGCAATCTCATGATATAAAACTCATACTTTAAGACTAATTTTCCCACAGCTGAAAAGATGTAAAGGAGATATTTGGGGAGAAATGTGTGAATGTATGGCATTGTTGCCTATTTTTACCTTAATACTTCTTTTAAGTTTTTCTTTCATTACCTCCCCCCCCCCTTTTTTTTAAGAGTGCTCATTCCTAAATGAACAACACACAGGGTGTCATAGTGGATGTTTGGCCTTCTTCATAGTATTTTATCACAACTGACTTCTTTGCAAAGTTACTATTTGGGGGTTGCGCTTTGCAGCACCATCACTGGCACTGCTGCTTAATGAACATTGTAGGATATGAAAATATTTTCAGTTATAATAACAGAGTTTGTCAAGCAACAGCGCATTAGTCATAATCACTTGCAGAAGTTCCACTGTACACAGACAGCCTTGCGGCTCACACAGTGCTGAGCAGAGGGCGGGGGGTGGTCTGCTCCTCAACTAAAATGGCACCACCATGTGGCAACAACATAAAACCTGATCACAGTTCACCAGACCCTCCAGCTCTGACGGCTCTCTTTCCCTGACAAGTCCGTAAGTGTAGAGAATTCATATTATTTCCTCTGTTACCTGAAGTAAGATATCTGAGGTCTTTCTGATTTTTTCTCACCTTTTCAAATTTATTTGACTATGCCATGTTACAGGGCATGATGATTAGAGTGGCAACTCACAGGAAGCAATGGATTGTAGTAGTGTTCAGGAAAGTCAAGAAAGAGGTATAACAATCAAGAGACTGTAAGGATAATGCAGAGGAGTAGAGGGAAGGGGGATTTGAATGAGATCAAAGAACCAGTGAAGTAGAAGTGATGGAAATTGTGATTAGAGAGCAGTATATTTAGACTGAAGGTGTTCACAAGGAACAGATCTCCATGACAACATGGTCTGGATTCAGCCATGAGTGGGGGACTGAAACGATGTGGATGTGAACAGAAGTCAGTGTGATTAAACCAGTTAATGGATTGGAAGTCAACCATGGGCCACACACATGGGCATCATGGTCAACCCAGGATGATAAGCCATGGGGGGAAATAAAGACTGAGCCAAACACCACAGTAAACGGGAGAGCAGCCTAGGAATCAGCATGCGACAGGTAAAAGGAAGAGAAGTTGATATTGGCCTCATATGAACAGAGCTTCGTACTTTAGAGGAATAACAACCAAGGAACAGCAGTGAAAACAAGGCACCAGCTGCACCTCCAGGCCCTGAAGACTGGGGAGTGTGAAAAACCATCAGCTTCTATTTCCAAAGGCTCCAGGGGTTTGGGAGTCCTGAGGGGCAAACCAGGTTCTTGTTAAAGAGATGAGCAGGAGAGCCAGAAGATCCAGTGCAGGGACTGAGAATGTCGCGGGACATAATAACCATGAAATCAGGGTTTGAAAAGGCGGCGTGGGGCACTGGAGGCAGAGAAGTAACAGGAGGTTGGATCATGGGAGAGAAAGCCCAGAGCAGGATGGGAATGAGAGTTTGGGAGAAGGGGGTGATGACCAGTGATGAGGACGTGTGACCTTAGGTTAAAGCTTGCCACAGGTTCCATCGACCCTGAATAAGCCTTTATCAAGCATCTGCTCTGTGACAGCTGTTGCTCTCAAGTGCCTGAGTGCAGAGTGAGCAAAAATCCCTGCCCTTTCAGGGCTTGTAGTTTAGCAGGCGGAAACAGACAACAAATAATCAGCATGATGTAATAAATAACAAAATGATCTAGAGTGGTAGATGCTCTGGAAAATAAAGAAATGATCGCACCAACTTAAGAGGTTTGGGGAGTGCCAGTGAGGATGTGGTGGGAGAAAGTTGTAGAATTAACAGAGAATGGTGTGGCCAACCTACAACCAAAAAAAAGAAGGTGAACAAATTAAATGTGCTGGCTCAGAGTAGAGTGCTAAGCAGTGCCTGAAAAGGCCCAAAGCCAGGAGGATGCCAAGCATGTTGAAGAAATAATGAGAAGAACAAAGCAGCTAGAACTGTGTGGACAAGGGGAGAGGAGCAGAAGGTAAACAGAGATGATAAGAGGTGGGGCAGGATAATGGAATGGGGAGCCAGGGCAAGATTTTGAGAAGAGGAGAGGCATGGTGGGGTTCTGATTCTAGTAGAATCACTCTGGTTGATGTGTTGAGAGTAGATTTTAGTGCAAATGTGAGAGCAGAGGGATCAAGTCAATTATTGCTTGACTTGGACCATGATGGAAAGGTGGAAGTGCTAGCAGTTTGTCCAAGTAGTTGTCTAGTTGGCAGAGGAGTGCACTTAGGCCTTTTAGGAGATAGTTATAGTCTGTGTCAGACTCCCCAGCTGGTGCCAGTGGTAAAGAATCCGCCTCCCAGTGAAGGAGACACAAGGGACATGGGTTCAATCCCTGGGTCGGGAAGATCTCTGGAATAGGAAATGGCAACCCGCTCAATATTCTTGCCTAGAAAATTCCATGGCCAGAGGAACCTGACAGGCTTCAGTCCATGGGGTCACAATGAGTCAAACACAACTGAGCATTATCTGTATTATTTACAAAAGCTCCAGGTAATAGTGGCTGAACATAGGTTCTGATGGACTGGTTGGAGAACTGGTCTACAAGTATTGGAAGAATTATTTACGGAAGTGAATTTGAACTTGGACTAAGCGGTGTCAAGGACAATTTTCGGACATTAGCTAGCTGCATCTTTCATAGATGCCTGGCTCCACTTTGCTAAATGTTGTGTGACTCAACAGTGTACATAGGTCAATGTACATGTACGTAGCTAGTAGTATCTAGAGGCTATCTGAACTAGAAAATGCAGAGCAAATTTTGGAGGCAACACCTTAAGACAATTTGGAAAACTTTCAGTGAATCACTAATACTGTGGAAGAATAGAGGGCATACTTAAAGGAATTCACAGGATCCAAGCAAAAGAGACTTACTGTCTTCAAGTACTGAAAAAATTGTTTACGAAAGCAGAGTTGGCCTTACTATGTTGATCTCAGGAGCAGGACCAAGGGGGTAGATGCTTCATACAGAAAAGTTGCATTTCAGTCCCATATAAGGAAGAGCTTTCTGCGAAATGGAACTACAGTCGGCCCATGAACAATGAAGGGATTAAGGGCACAGACCCTCCACACAGTCAAAAACCCAGATGGAACTTAGTTGCCCTCTGTATTCCCATGTAGCTCAGTTGGTAAAGTATCTGCCTGCAATGCGGGAGACCTGGGTTCAGTTCCTGGGTTGGGAAGTTCCCCTGAAGAAGGGAATTGCCATTCCCTTCCATTCCAGTATTCTTGCCTGAAGAATGCCATGGACAGAGGAGCCTGGTGAGCTACAGTTCATGGGAATGCAAGAGTTGAACATGACTTAGTGTTATCTTTCTTTTCTGTATTCACAGTTCTTCTGAACTCATGGGTTCAACCCAGCGTGGAGGGTGCAGTAGTCGTGCAGTATTTACTATTAGGAAAAAAACCTATGCGTTAAGTGGATCCATGCAGTTTAAATCCTTGTTGTTCAAGAGTCAGCTAGACTTAGAGACAGAATAGGCAACTTCTGGGCAGTGATGCAGTCAGTGTCACAGGAAATGTTAGCATTGGAGAATGATGGCCACTTACAGGGAGGCAGACAGGTTCCGTGCTGGGTGAGGCTCTTACCTGTTGGCACAGGCTGGCCGGCATGGAGAGGGGAGGAGTCTCAGGCTTCACGCAGGTCCAGCAGAAAGAGTGCTGAGCTCCATTCCCAGAGCCTGCCGTTGGCAGCGGGAACAGACAGTAAGGTGCACATATGCAATTATCTGCCATTCCAACTGCAAGGACTCAAATATTGGTTGGCAAATCCAACTACGTGACTTTTAAGAACCTTTCCATTCCTAAGAGTATCATTTTGTCTGTGTATATACCAACATTATCATTCCCCTCAAAGCAGGGAATTGGATACATTTTCGGTAACAGTTTTACTCTCAGATGATATAAGAAGCAGTAAGGCTGTATTATTAATCTGGGGCTTTTTTTTTTTTTCTTTATGACAAAGAGCTCACATTTCAGTTCATCATAGCAAAGGGAGAAGTCAGATTTGTATTCCAGAAGCACAGAAATTGCTCAAAGTTGAATATGGCTCAAAACAAGAAAACATAATACAAGAGGGATGGAAAACAAGTAAAATTTTAAAATATTTACTGTTCAATCACTGATTGTCCTGTGCAAACAAACATGAGAACTGTGTTTGTCCTGAAGTATGTTTTCAACTCTGCATCGCAGCCGCTGCCTTCTCCAGTCTCCTC